CGACGGCCTCGGCCCTGGATAGGTGACCTCTGCCCTTACCGGACGGCACGGTCGTTCCTCGGTGACCACTGCCCTTTCTGGACGATCTCGACGCTGCTCCGAGGCTCTGTGGTGCCTCGGCGACAACTGCTCTCCCTCGACGGCCTCGGCCCTGGATAGGTGACCTCTGCCCATACCGGACGGCTCGGTCGTGCCTCGGCGAACACTGCCCTTCCTGGACGGCCTTGGCCCTGCCTCAACAGCTCTGTAGTGCCTCGGCGACAACTGCGCTCCATCGACGGCCTCGGCCCTGGATCGGTGACCTCTGCCCTTCCCGGACGGCACGGTCGTTCCTCGGTGACCACTGCCCTTTCTGGACGATCTCGACGCTGCTCCGAGGGCTCTGTGGTGCCTCGGCGACAACTGCCCTCCCTCGACGGCCTCGGCCCTGGATCGGTAACCTCTGCCCTTCCCGGACGGCTCTGTCGTGCCTCGGCGACCACTGCCCTTCCTGGACGGCCTCGGTCCTGCCTCGACGGCTCTGTCGTGCCTCGGCGACGACTGCCCTCCCTTGACGACCTCGGCCCTGGATCGTTGACCTCTGCCCTTCCTGGACGACCTCGGCCCTACCTCAAAGGCTCTGCGGTGCCTCGGCGACAACTGCCCTCCCTCGACGACCTCGGCCCTGGATCGGTGACCTCTGCCCTTCCCGGACGGCTCGGTCGTGCCTCGACGACCACTGGCCTTCCTGGACGACCTCGGCCCTGCCTCGACGGCTCTGTGGTACATCGGCGACAACTGCCTCTCTCGACCGGGCCCCGGCCCTGGATCGGTGGCCTCTGCCCTTCCCGGACGGCTCGGTCGTGCCTCGGCGACCACTGCCCTTCTGGACGGCCTCCGCGACAACTGCCCTCCCTCGACCGCCTCGGCCCTGGATCGGTGACCTCTGCCCTTCCCGACGGCTCGGTCGAGCCTTGTGACCACTGCCCTTCCTGACGGCCTCGGCGACAACTGCCCTCCCTTGACGACCTCGGCCCTGGATCGGTGACCTCTGCCCTTCCTGGACGACCTCGGCCCTACCTCAAAGGCTCTGTGGTGCCTCGGCGACAACTGCCCTCCCTCGACGACCTCGGCCCTGGATCGGTGACCTCTGCCCTTCCCGGGCGGCTCGGTCGTGCCTCGACGACCACTGGCCTTCCTGGACGACCTCGGCCCTGCCTCGACGGCTCTGTGGTACATCGGCGACAACTGCCCTCTCTCGACCGCCTCGGCCCTGGATCGGTGACCTCTGCCCTTCCCGGACGGCTCGGTCGTGCCTCGGCGACCACTGCCCTTCCTGGACGGCCTCCGCGACAACTGCCCTCCCTCGACCGCCTCGGCCCTGGATCGGTGACCTCTGCCCTTCCCGGACGGCTCGGTCGAGCCTTGGTGACCACTGCCCTTCCTGGACGGCCTCGGCGACAACTGCCCTCCCTCGACGGCCTCGGCCCTGGATCGGTGACCTCTGCCCTTCCTTGACGGCCTCGGCCCTTCCTCGACGGCTATGTCGTGCCTCGGCGACAACTGCCCTCCCTCGACGGCCTCGGCCCTGGATCGGTGACCTCTGCCCTTCCTTGACGGCCTCGGCCCTTCCTCGACGGCTATGTCGTGCCTCGGCGACCACTGCCCTTAGCGGCCTCGGCCCTTCATTGACGGCTTCGGCCTTGCATCGACGACCTCGGCCCTGCAACGACGACCTCGCCCGTGCCTCGGCGACCTCTGACCGTCGTCGGCGACCTCGCCCCTGCCTCGGGTACCTCTGTTGAGCCGTTCTTGGTGATCTCTGCCCGTCGTCGGTGACGTCGCCCCAGCCTCGGGTACCTCTGCTGAGCTGGCCTTGGTGATATCTGCGCTTCCTTAACGGTTTCGGCCCTGTCTCGGTGATCTCGGCCCTTCCTTGACGGCCTCGGCTCTGTCTCGGTGACCTCTGCTCTTCCTTGACGGCCTCGGCCCTGTCTCGGTGACCTCTGCTCTTCCTTGACGGCCTCGGCCCTGTCTCGGTGACCTCTGCTCTTCCTTGACGGCCTCGGCCCTGCCTCGATGACCTCTGCTCTTCCGTGACGGCCTCGGCCCTGTCTCGGTGACCTCTGCTCTTCCGTGACGGCCTCGGCCCTGTCTCGGTGACCTCTGCTCTTCCTTGATGGCCTCGGCCCTGTCTCGGTGACCTCTGCGACCTCGACCTCGTTTCGGCGACCTCCGCCCTTCCTTGGGTCCTGTCTCGGCGGCCTCGGCCCTGCCGTTCGGCGGTGGCCTTTTCTCTTTTCGGCCTCCGACTCCGAGTCGCCTGCACGCTGCAAGCCCTGGCCGTCCTCGACGGATCACTGTACACTGTACGTGCACGACGCGGTCCTGTCTCCTCCTGGCTGGTAAAGTGTTGAGTCGTCCCGCTCCGAAGACGCCACCGCGCCGCCACGTCGCGCGGGCCGCGTCAATGAGTCGTTCTTCAAGTGGCGAGGCCGTCCAAGGCGCACCAGGCGGCTTGCACGCGCCACGCGCCTCCTAGCAGGTGAGGGTGAGGGCTCCGCCAGCCGGCTGGTGCCGAGCACTGTACGAAAAAACCACTGTTAATCCCGTTAATTTTTTTGGCGTGATTTACTGTAGTTCATCAGGATTTACTGTGCCTGGCTACAGTATTTACTGTACCTGGTACAGGATTATCCTGTACAGGATTATTCCGTACTGTGGTACAGTAAATCCCGTACGAAGTACAGTAGATCCTGTAAAAAAGTACAGTAAATCCTGTACTCTGAACTACGGTGACAGCAGTACTACTCACTACACGATTTACTGCGACTTTTCCCCACAGTGAGGGGAAGGTCCCGTCGGTCTGTCTCTGTCGCACCTGTGCGCGACGCCCCATGAGTGCGAAAGAGAAAGACCTCCCACTCAGCCTCCAGGTATTTCTCGCCGGACGATGGCGTCCTCAGAGTCCTGCGGTTTCCCCTGCCAGGCGATTCAGGAGAGTCCTTTCGTCGCTCTGTCTTTCTCTCACTCCTGTGGCTCTCCGTAAGGGTGCGAGAGAGACAGAGCGACAAACTGATCTCCTGAATCGCTCGGCTGAGCCGGCGGCCTAGGCTAGCCCAGGGCGCGAAGAGCCCGGCCACTCAGCTCACTCGTACTCTCATTGTACGGGGGGAAATTGTTCCGTGCTGTGCTTTTGGAAATGACGTTGGGGTTGTGTTTGCTTGCGAACGGGGGGAAGAGAACAGTCGGTACTGGAGTGAATTTCCGTTTGGTACAGTTTGCTTTGGTGCTCGAGCAACAGTGTGTGCGCGTCACCGCTGCGGGCCACTGCACTGTACAATCATTGCCGGCGAAAGAGAGAAAGAAAAAGACAGAGAGATAGAGAAAGAGAGAATCGGACCTGTCGCCACGCCGCGCGACAGACTCTCCGCGACAGACTATATGTGCTCTTATGATTTTTTTTTGTTGACCGTGCTCCTGCGTGGGCCATTGAAAGCAATCGAAAAGTTTTGCTTCGCGGAGCTGTCAGTGCCGTCGCTCTGGGGCGCCCGCCGGCGGGGGGCGCGGCGCCGCCCGTGGGCCAGGCAACTCCTCGGGCCTGGGTGCCCGGAGTGTGGTATCACATAGACACACACACACACACACACTGACGCATATTTGCTCGGTCTCACGCACTTGTCGCGGTGTATGAGTTCCTCATGTTCATCACACTAATCCAATTGTAAGAAGCCTCGTGACCCGGCAGGCGCCCCCCCTCCCCCCCCTTCCCCCGGCCGCCGTGTGTCTGTGCCAACAGCTTGCCATTGGCTCACCACGCAGTGCAGCCAGCCTCCCCCCTCCCCTCCCCTTTTCAACGGGCCTATCCCTTCTTGACACCCCTTTACAAATACTGGAAGAGGGTCGCGGCGTTGAGATGATTCTTATTGAACGAACGCACTCTGGAGTGGCGCTGCGACCGCGCACCCCGCCCCGCACCCCGCCCGTGACGCGGAGCCGCGGAGGCAGAGCCCCCTACCGCCCCCCTCCCCTCTCCGCCGAGCTCTCCGCCCGGTGCGCCGTTGGCACTATTTCTGTTGTGGCGGCAGTCGAGGCACCCGCCACGCCCTGCACGCAGTCCGTCTTCCTGCCCCCCCCCCCTCTCTCCTCGCTTGTTGCTTCTTTCTTTCGTCTCAGATACCTTATCTGTAGGTAGACAGCCTGACGCGACTTCGACGTGCAGGTTGGCAGTCTTGCAACTTGCACCGTCTCTAGGCCTCGGCCTGAGGCCTGCCCCGAGGCCTGCCCGCGACCGAGGCCGAGGCCACGTTTGTTTCTTTTCGCTGCACTGCAGTCCAGTCCGGCCTTTGCCCCTCGGCTCGAGCGTTGCGGTGCGAGTACAGGTAGACTGATACTCCGAGAGTCGTTTTCGTCGCCCTGTCTCTCTCGCACCTATACGACACGCCCCGTGAGTGCGAGAGAGGCAGAGCGACGAAAGCGACTCTCGGAATCTGTCTGCTGCTTCTAGCTCGCCGTCGTGCCTTCTGCGGATCATTTCGTCGGCGTCGCATCGACGTGTTGACGTAGTGACGTCACGGCAGCGCGCGGCCCCCTCGAAGATGCGCGTCTTGCGTCTAGAAGCACAGTGGGCCAGCGCAGGCGGCCAAAATTCCGGACGCGTTTTGAGCTCCAGAGTCGCTGAATGGGACTTAAACGCAGCGTGTGACCCCACCAATGGACTGCTCTCCGAACGAGGAATCCATTGGTGGGGTCGGTCACGCGCTCGGTTCTAGTCCTGTTTAGCGACTCTGGAGCTCAAAACACGTCTCGAGTTTTGGCCGCCTGCGCCGGTCTTCTGGCAAATCCACTTGGTGCGCCCTTTGCCCTTTCTGGCGCCGCTTGTCGCGGATTTGAGTCGCCCCGCCCTATGGCCTGATGAGCTGTAACCTGAACTGCAGTGGAGTGGAGCCCAGCGGCCCTTCCCGCCCTTCCCTCTGCCTGCGCCTTTGCCCCAGTTCTGATGTTGTCTGTCTTGTTTCCAGCTTGGCCATGGCGGGTTCACCGGCGCACCGCGTGACGGAGGACCCCGTAGGGACCCAAACATGATCTAAGGGCAAGGTACGAGGTTTGTTTTTGTTTGGTTTGGCATGGTTTTTGGTTTGCGTTTGAGTGGTCTGTGTGGCATGCGTGCATGCATGCAGGCCTGTGGACTGGTTCCGGGAGTCGCTTCCTTTGCTCTCTCGCACCCATGGGGATGCTCCATGAGTGCGAGAGAGACAGAGTGACGAAAAGGTTTCTCGGAATCAGTTTGCTGGGCCGCCGGTCCGTGGCTTGTGTATCGGCGGGGCGTGTCCTTTGGCTCGCTTTGCTCGCTTTGCTCGCTTTGCTCGCTTTGCTCGCTTTGCATGGCCTCCCGCTAGGCCGCGCTAGGCCGCGGGGGCGTTAGCGTGCAGTTAGCGGTCCTCGGCGACCCGTCATTAGACATTGCAGTGGACCCGCTTTCCGTCTCTGTCGCTTGCATGGGGCGGCCCGTCGGGGAGAGAAGGGGAGAGAGAGAGAGAGAGAGAGACTGCGATTGGCACTTCGGCACTGCAATTGGTTTTCGTCGCTCCGTCTACCTCGCGCACTCGGACGGGCGTCCCGCATAGGTACGAGCGAGAGAGTCGACTTTCGGAGTCGGCCTGCCAGAGGCAGTGAGACATGGGCCTCCGGCGCGCCGCGCCGCGTTGCCGGGATGCCGATGACGTCCTTTGTCGGCGTGCATTGACGAGGATCCTTGTTTCGTTTCGTCGCGATGCTCGTCAGGCTCGTCAGTGCGCCTCGGATCGCTTCTAGTTCGACGCCCACCTGGTGCGCCGCGCCGCCCGGCTGATTTGATTTACGCCAATTTGCATCGTTCCCCGCGGATTGCGCTACTTGTCTCGCGGAGTGACGCCGCCGCGCCTCGCGATCTCGGGGCGAAAGGCTGAGAGGCAAACGGCGAAAGCGTGTTGATGACACTCGGCTTGGCCCGGCCGGCTGGGCAGCACCCGCCGTATCACGCTACTCGCGCCGCCCCGCCCCGCCCCGCCCCGCCCCCGCGAGGCGTTCCTCTCCAGTTCCAGCGCTTCTCGGCGCAAAGCGCGCAAAGCGGGCAAAGCGGCCAAAGCAGATCAGTTTTAGACGGGGGCTCCGTCTGGAAGCACTTTCGCGTCGTGCAGCGCCGCCGGGCCTTTCGCGGTGTCGCGGCGCGCGCGCGTGTGTTTGCGTGTGTGTGATCGAATGCGCGTGCGTGCGTGGTCCTGTGGTGGGTGCGCTGTTCGGCAAACGGCAGTCTGGGCGGCGCCGATTGAGGCCTGGGCGAGGGTCTGGGTGCACCAGTAGGTCCTGGTTGCCCATGTGCCGTACCTCTCGCCAGGTGCACAGTGGGCAAGAAGACCGGCGGAGGCGGCCAAAATCTTGGACGCGTTTTGAGCTCCAGAGTCGCTTAGTGGGACTCGATGCGAACGTGTGACCCCGCCGAAGAACTGCTCTTTGAACGAGGAATCCAATTGGTGGGGTCACACGCTCGGTTCGAAGCCTGATTCGCGACTCTGGAGCTCAAAACGCGTCTAGAGTTTTGTCCGCCAGCGCTGGTCTTGTGAGTCCCCAAGATCGGGGGAAGCACCGCAAGGCACAGCCCGTCCCCCTGCTTCTTCAGACAAATTAAGGACGTCTGTCTTTACCACTCGTTCGTCCTCGCGTTCGTCCCGCCAGTCTCAAAGTGACGCGTCGTCTGTTCGATTTGGAAAAGTTTTCGTATTTTTCGGCCCGCAACTCTTTTCCCTCCTCCCACCCGGTTCAAGACGCGTGATTAAATCGGCGAGGCAA